TCCAGCCATTGGCTGGGGTCCCAAGTTCCCTCGCTGGTCCTCTGTAACAACAAACTCCCTCTTCCATCACCTTGTTTAACCAGTAACACCCAGGGAAACAGTCCTACCCCCTCTGCATGCAAACCATTGAAAAAACCAAGAAAACCACCCACTTCGTCACAGTTTCCAAGCAAGCATATTCTGAAGCCCTTCATACCAGTCAGGCTTATCTCTATATGCTGATAGAGACTGTTCCCTAGTGTTCCGTTCCCAGCTCTGATGCCATAGAGCATTTACCTCATGTCCCCCTTCCTAGCTCTGATGCTGCAGAGCCTTGCCTGTGTCCCTATTCCCGCCCTCCACTTAGCAAGCATGATTCCAATTTCCCTTCCACTTCCTGTTTGGCCCCAGTTTATATAGTAATATTCTCAGCTATACCTTAACCAATCATTTTACTGAAATTTAACTAACTAATCCTAACATATTGTAACATAATTTTCTAACCAATTATATCCCACTACCCTAATTAACTTACACCTAGCAAAATTAATTATACAGCAGACAGAAACAATTAGAGAACCAGACAGATTAAGAATAGAAAAGTGGGGGCCATAAAGATAAAACAATACAGAAATGAGGGTTTCACAACCACAACCATTGATAAGTGATTTCTTGCCAGACAGGATGCTATCAAACTAAGTTTTCTTTAACCATCTTAAGATCTGTTTCTTTTTCTGGTGGTGATGGGCACTATCAGGACAAGATTGTCTTCCTAACAGCCCAATACCACCTTATTTCAATGTGACTGATTTGGGATGTGAGGATGTGACCATAGGCTTCCCAGCTTATGACTGCCCCAGCTGCTTAGCCAAAGGCCTTAGCCTAAGAACAAGGCCTTAGACTATCCTAGTGAGAGAAGGCCCATACACAGGTGGACTTATGATTTTGATTCTTTGTTTTATACCTCTATAACTAGCTAAGTGATAAAAATACACCTAAGTTCTTAAAGTATAGGCCTTTACAGACAGGCCTGAATATCTATATTCTAACAACTTCATACGCACTAACGATATACATACTCTGACAGAACAATGGGTTTCAGCAGATCCTGACCTTTCATGTGATATGTGACATGTGACATTTCTTTGTATGAAATATAGCATATTTCTGTGTGAGGTGGCAGACAGTGAGGAGGGCCAGGCAGGTTTGTGGATTTAGAAAAAAAGATGCAAACGTTATGTATAAGTTTACATATGGTATACATATAAAATTAGGGGATGGTTAACAATGCATTATGGGAAGTTGATCTCATGATCACAATCACTCCTGTGCGATCTGTTTGGGCCCCAGCATACAATGCCAAACTAAACCTTCCCAAAATATAGTGCGGTGGACAGTGATGAATTGCACAGTGGGATATCTATTCATGGTGCACCTCACTCTGAATCAATACAAGTGCTTCTGGTGACTACCCTCACTGCCGAGACAAGGAGTCCAGTAGGCATGCACACAAGTGACACAGTAACTGTAGCAAGACTACGCTGACATAACTTGAGTTAACATATGCTTGTAGTGTAGATATAGCCTTAGGTATATGAAATGTTTGGGAGAGGTAACAGGAAAAGTATTAGGGTAGACCAAGATTCATTCAGGTGTTTAGGCTCCAGCTTTTGTGGTACTGGTCTTACTATACCCTAAAGGCTCAGAAACAAAAAGGCACATAAGAACAAAATATCATGTATTTATTAAAATTTCTTTACTTCAGGGTGTATAACTCATGTTTTTAGAATTCTTGTGGTTGTCAAGCTATCTTGGGGTTGTAGATGTGTGTGCATTATGTTTTGAAGGCCAAAACTATAAATGGGTTTGTGGTGGGGCGGCTGTCCCACGCCCAGAGAGTGTGGGCTGCGGCAGGCCCGGGCGCCTGCGTATTCCGGCAGCCAATGAGAGAAGGGCTTGTTGCGAGCCAATCAGAGAACAGATTGGGGCCAGCCAATCAGGGCCCAGCTCAGCCATATAAAAGACTGCTCAGGGAGAGAGCAGTCAGTCTGTCCCAGGCCTCCAGAGGGGAAGGTCTGTCTCCAGAGCTGGGAGGCTAGCACCACGGACAGCGCCGTGCAGGCCAGCCTTGGAGAGCGGGAGAAGGTCCTACTCCGTAGCCTGCCAGGCAGCCGGCCTTGTAGGAAAGGACCTAGCGGGAAGGAGGGCCGTTGGGGAAGCGGTCCAGAGGAACAGTCAGAGGAGGAAGGAGAAGGAGGACAGCAAGGCTGTCGCTAGAGGGCCTCTGGACCGGGACTCAGAGTAGTGGGCAGGCCTGGGTCCCCCCCTTCCCCCATTTTTTGTTCCCTTTGACCATACACTCAGCTATAGGCCGCAGGGAGCGGCCAGCCGGAACCATGCCAGATCCTAGACTGTAGGGATCGGACTTAAAGGTGTGGGACTGTTGATCATCCCCCCCCGGAAGGGGGCCCGAATAGACAGAAGGACATTGTCGGAGGGCAGTGTTCCAGAAAGAGGACCCTGTGTGTCGGGAGCACAGCGGGTCCACATGCCAACCCCTGGCGGGATGACAGACAGGACACCACCAGAAGGATGCGCTCTACTGGATCGAACCGATTCCCCGAGACGACCAGTAGGAGATGCTGCGGGTCCCAAACCTGTCACACGTGGTACCAGAAGTGGGGAACTGATCCGGACCTGTTAAAAGGTCCAGAGTGTGGGGGTTGCGTCGGGAGCATCCCGCTGACCCCCAAGATGGAGGCCGAGAAGCTCCTGAAGTGGATGCTGGAAAAGCAACAGGAGCAGTCGGCCCAGAAGCAACAGGAGCAGTCAGCCCAGCAGCAACAGCAGCAGGTGCAAATGCTGCAACAAATGACTAGCCAACAGCAACTGCTGATGACTCAGCACCAAGAGCACCAGCAGCAGCTCCTCCGGGAGTTGGCTGCCCAGCAGCGGGTGCAGCAGGAACACCTGGTACAACAGATGGCCGCGCTATTATGCCTGGCGGGAGGCACCTCTGCCGCACCCATGGGGACAGGACTTGGGGATACTTTGGGGGCACTACCAGTACATCTCACCAAGATGGGGCATGAGGACGACCCAGAAGCATTTTTGGTGATGTTTGAGTGGGTGGCGACCGCTGCCCTGTGGCCCTCAGAACATTGGGCCACCTTGCTAGCCCCCTATTTGACGGGGCAAGCTCAGGCCGCACACCGTAGCCTCGACCCCCGGGAAGCCCTCGAGTACATCCGAGTGAAGGCGGCCATCCTGGACCATACCGGCATTAGCCCGGAGACCTACCGCCAGCGCCTCCCCAAGGAACAGTACCCCCCGGGGGCCCAACCCCGCGCCATGGCCCAACGCATCCGAGACCACTGCTGGAAGTGGTTGAACCCGGAAGGCTTGACGGGACCCCAGGTGGCGGAGATGGTGGCCCTAGAACAGTTCACCCAAGTCCTGCTCCCGGGAGAAAGGGCCTGGGTACGACGGCATCGACTGGCCACCTTGTCAGCAGCGGTAGCCTTGATGGAGGACTACTTATCTGCTGAGGGGGCTGAGGCGCCACCCCGAGCGGCAGGGAACCCTAGTCGCAAGGGCAGGACAGAGAAGGGGAACATCCACGGGTTGGGACCCTCCGAACCACTGGCAGGCAACCGCCATGGACATCCGAGGGCCCCCCACCCCGAGCCCAGACACAAGTTACCACAGGTGACGACTCGGAGGGAACATCAGCCCCCAGAGCGAGCAGACCCCCTTGGGGGAGGCCCAGGGCTGGCCGAGGCTCGAGAGAGATGCTGGGGTTGTGGACAAAAAGGACATTTTCGACGAGATTGCCCTTTTATGGACTGCCGCTACGGGCAAGCCTGGGTGGCCGGATGAAGGGCTCAGAGGAGAGGGATAGGAAAGCTGGTAGTCCCTGTCCGGGTCGAGGGGACCCCCACAAACACCCTCGTAGACTCGGGGTGCAGTCAGACCCTCATACAAGAGGGGCTGGTCCTGAACCTTAATCTTTCGGGGCCCCCGATCCACCTGCAGTGTGTGCATGGGGACATCCGCCCGTACCCCACAGCCTGGGTCAAAATAGGAGTAGGCTGCCTAGAGGAAGGTCTTCGGGTAGGAGTGGCCCCCAGGCTGGCCTACCCAGTGGTGCTGGGACGAGATTGGCCGGACTTTGGGGAGGTTCTCCTGAGGTACCAGCCGCCCAAACCCCGACCCGACAGGACTAAGGTGCCTAGAACGGGACTGCTCGGGCGCAGACCAAGGAGTGACCCCGGCGAGGGGACCTCCACAACCCAGGATGCCCCCGTGGATCATCCTGGAGATAGGCCCTGTTCAGTGGAGGACACCCAAGCAGAACTAGAGCGGGACGGGGACTTCTTACAGGAACAACGAGAAGACCCAACCCTAAGCAGAGCCTGGGAGCAGGCCACCAACCCCGATGCCGAGGAGGACATGATGCCACGACCTCCACAGGGCCCCCGATTTGAAATATGGCGGGACCACCTGTACCACATAGCGCAGGAACCCCAGACCCGAGAGACGTTCCGTCAGCTGTTGGTCCCCCAGAGACTGCGATCCGGCCTCCTCCAACTAGCCCACGCAAATCCTTGGGCGGGACATCTGGGGCGCGAGAAGACCCTACAGAGGGTAGCCCGCCGGTTTTTCTGGCCGGGCATACACCGAGAGGTGGGGGACTTTTGTGCATCATGCCCAGAATGCCAGCGAGCCGGGCCGAAAGGGGTAGCCCGCGCGCCCCTGGTACCCATGCCTGTCGTTGGGGTACCTTTTGAGAGGATTGGGATGGACCTCGTCGGCCCCCTCGAACGAAGTAAGACAGGGAACCGCTTTATCCTAGTGGTGGTGGATTATGCAACGCGCTATCCCGAAGCCGTTCCCCTAAAGACAGTGACAGCACCAACCATCACGAATGAATTAGTAAAGATTTTCGCCCGGGTTGGGATGCCCGGGGAAATATTGACTGATCTGGGCACGAACATGTCCTCCAAATTAATAGCAGAGCTATGTTGCCTCCTCCACATACGGACTCTCTGGACATCGGTGTACCATCCGCAGACCGATGGCCGGGTAGAACGATTCAACGGCACGCTAAAAGCTATGCTGCGGAAGTTTGTAGAGGAGGACCCCTCGCCTTGTTGCCGGCCTTATTAGAGGTACCACAGGCCTCGACGGGGTTCTCGCCCTTCGAGCTCTTATACGGGAGACAGCCCAGGGGGATACTGGACCTCCTGAAGGAGGAGTGGGAAGCCCAGGAAACGCGGGTCCTCGGAACCATGCAATATGTGCTACACCTCCGGAAGCGACTCCAAACATTAGGGGCCTTCGCCCAGGAAAACTTGGAACGGGCCCAGGCATGCCAGGAACGCCTCTATAGCCGCGAGAGGAAATTCATCCCAGGCGATCGGGTGCTGCTCCTACTGCCCTCAGCGGAGTCGAAACTCCTGGCCAAATGGCAAGGCCCCTATGAAGTAATCCGACGAGTGGGGCCGGTTGACTACGAAGTCAGACTACCGGGACGACGTAAGGAGACTCGCATTTATCATGTCAATCTTCTGAAGGCCTGGAAAACATGGGAAGCCCTGTTCATTGGCCCGTCCACCCCAGACTCGGAACTTGGACCCCTAGTAGGAGATCTTCCCGACCCCAGACCGGCCACGCTGGGGTCAGGCCTCAGTCCCAGACAGAGAGGGCACTTACAACAGTTGGTGGAGGAATTTCCGGATGTTTTATCTGCCCGCCCGGGCCGGACGACTCTAATGAGTCATCATATCGCCACCGACCCCGGGAAGAGGGTGACGGACAACCACCGACCGTTACCCAAGAGAATGTGGGATACAGTCCGACAGGAGGTAGAGACGATGTTGGAGATGGGAGTGGTGGAGGAATCAACGAGCGAGTGGCGTAGCCCTATCGTCTTAGTCCCGAAGCCAGATGGGATGACCCGGTTTTGCATCGACTTCAGAGAGGTCAACGCTATCTCCCGCTTCGATGCATACCCAATGCCGAGGGTGGATGAATTGTTGGAGCGCCTCGGGGGAGCCAGGTATCTGTCAACCATAGACCTAACTAAAGGATACTGGCAAATCCCCCTCATGCCAAACTCCCATGTAAAGACGGCCTTCCCCACCCCTTTCGGCCTTTTCCAGTTCATAACCATGCCATTCGGGTTACAAGGAGCTGCGGCTACATTTCAGCACTTGATGAACAAGGTCCTCCAACCTCACGACCAATACGCGGCGGCCTACATAGATGATATTGTAGTTTATAGCCTCGACTGGGAGAGCCACCTACACCACCTGGCAGAGGTGTTACAGGCCCTCAGAGTGGCTGGCCTAACGGCTAACCCGGCAAAATGCCACCTAGGGCAAGAAGAAGTGACCTACCTGGGATACACGGTAGGAGGGGGGAAACTAATGCCCCTGATTAGCAAGGTACAAGCACTCAAAGACGTACCCGTCCCCAAGACGAAGAAGCAAGTGCGTCGGTTTTTAGGATTAGCTGGGTACTACCGCTGTTTTGTGCCGGATTTTGCATCCATAGCTGCCCCCCTGTCAGATCTGACAAAGAACTCTCAGCCCCGACAGGTACAGTGGTCCAAACAATGTGAGAGAGCCTTTGCCACACTAAAGGAACAGCTCACTCGAGAACCTGTCCTACGACACCCCAACTTCATGAAGGAGTTTATACTTCAAATGGATGCATCCGAAGTGGGCTTGGGCGCAGTACTCTCCCAAGAAATAGACGGGGAAGAGCATCCGGTACTATACCTAAGTAGTAAGCTGATTCCCTGGGAAAAACATTTTTCGACGATAGAGAAAGAGGCCCTAGCGGTACGGTGGGCTATCGACGCCCTACGTAACTACCTGCTGGGAAATAGTTTTAAGTTGATCACAGACCACGCCCCTTTGCGATGGATCCACAGCATGAAGGACACAAACTCTAGAATTATGCGGTGGTACCTCTCCCTCCAGCCTTACGACTTCCGTGTGTTCCACCGCCCGGGTAAGGCCCATACTAATGCAGATTTCTTCTCCAGGCTGGGGGAGGAGGGCGAGGAAACAGACCGAGATGGGGGATCCTTAGTACAGGGGGAGGTTTGCGAGGGGGCAGCCAGGCCCCAACCCAACTACAGAGGCACCAGGCAGGTAGCCCTGATGGTGGAGGACTCGTCCCGCTCGTACTGGGTATGCCCCAAGTGCACAGAGAGTGTGAAAGGAGAGAGCATACCCCAGCCCAGACAGGCAGCCGAAGGGGAAGGACCTATCCGGGAAGCTCCGGTGGAGGACCAGCCCGCATTCCTGAGGCCGCCAGGAACCGGGACTTCTCCAGGTCGGGGTGGAGCCTCACTGTGGAAGGAACCAGAAGAGGCGGCGAACCTCGAGCCCCATGGAGATTCAGGAGACCCGTGGGACACCCCAGCATCCGAACTGATAGGAAGCAGTCTAAGGGCAGTGACGGACTGGTACGTCGGACCCGGTAAGCCTCAGCGTGTTTCGGTGGGACCCCCCGCTGAGACGGTGACTAGGCCATGTTGCCCTGTGACAAGGGCTAATTTCCGGGACTTTGGGCCAGTAGGCCTTGTTGCCCTAGGACGGGGGCTAATTTCCTAGACTTTGAGCCAGTAAGCCGGGCTGCCTTGGGACACAGGCTAATTTCCGAGCTCTAGGCCATTAGGCCGGTTAGGACCTCCCACCCGGGAGGGTTCTTAAGGGGGAGGGTGTGTGGTGGGGCGGCTGCCCCACGCCTGGAGAGTGTGGGCTGCGGCAGGCCCGGGCGCCTGCATATTCCGGCAGCCAATGAGAGAAGGGCTTGTTGCGAGCCAATCAGAGAACAGATTGGGGCCAGCCAATCAGGGCCCAGCTCAGCCATATAAAAGACTGCTCAGGGAGAGAGCAGTCAGTCTGTCCCAGAGGGGAAGGTCTGTCTCCAGAGCTGGGAGGCCAGCACCACGGACAGCGCCATGCAGGCCAGCCTTGGAGAGCGGGAGAAGGTCCTACTCCGTAGCCTGCCAGGCGGCCGGCCTTGTAGGAAAGGACCTAGCGGGAAGGAGGGCCGTTGGGGAAGCAGTCCAGAGGAGGAAGGAGAAGGAGGACAGCAAGGCTGTCACTAGAGGGCCTCTGGACCGGGACTCAGAGTAGTGGGCGGGCCTGGGTTCCCCCCTTCCCCCCTTTTTTGTTCCCTTTGGCCATACACTCAGCTATAGGCCGCAGGGAGCGGCCAGCCGGAACCATGCCAGATCCTGGACTGTAGGGATCAGACTTAAAGGTGTGGGACTGTTGATCATCCCCCCCCCCCCGGAAGGGGGCCCGAATAGACAGAAGGACACTGTCGGAGGGCAGTGTTCCAGAAAGAGGACCCTGTGCATCGGGAGCACAGCGGGTCCACACGCCAACCCTTGGTGGGACGACATACGGGACACCACCAGAAGGAGGCGCTCTACTGGATCGAACCGATTCCCCGGGACGACCAGTAGGAGACGCTGCGGTGGTGAGTCCCAACCTTGTCACAGGGTTCAACAAAGAATTAGATCAGTTCTCAGGATAGGTGCATCAGCTATTAGCCGAAATAATCAGGGATGCATCCACATGCTCTGGGTATCCCTAAACCTCTGACTTCCAGATTCTGAGAGTGGACAGTGGGATGGTTCACTCAGTGATTACCTGTTTTATTCATTCACTCTGAAGGACTTGGCACTGGCCGCTGTCAGAAGGCAGGATATTGGACTAGACGGACTATTGGTCTGACCCACTATGGCAATTCTAATGATCAGAAAAATTACAATAGATTTTTGCCTTTGAGAAGGATGTTACATGAGATATACTGCCTTTATTGAATATTTGAGAATCAAGTTCTACACAATGGCATGCGGAAAAACACTAAGGATTGGATTGAGAGGCAAAATAACAGTTGCAAAAGGCAATCACCATTGGTGGATTGAATGAAAACAAAGTTTTGAGACCAGGCCAGAAATTCAGTCAGACTGGAAGTCAGATGATCCAACAGCTCAAACAGGGCCCAGCTGGCCTTGATAAGAGGGCTGTGGGGGAGGAGCTGAGGAGGAGTCTCTCTCTAGCGGTGGAGAGAGAAGGACCTGGCTGCCTCGGAGCTCAGGGTACGAGGAGTAGAGCAGCGCTGGGGAAAGGAAAGAGGAGCTGGGGAGCTCCAGTTTGACACATCCCCAGGCTGTGGGCCTTGCTAAAGGCCTAAGCAGGTACTGGGGTTGCAGAGGTGCAGCCTGGGGTTAGGCAGAGGCAGCTGGACAAACCCCTTGCCAATGATGAGCAGTCTTTACAGACTGCAGTCTGCCCCAGGGAAAGGGAGCTAGATGATGACGGGCAGTGGTCACTGAGGCAAGGTGGGCTTAGAGCAGGGGTGGGCAAACTTTGTGGCCTGAGGGCCACTTTGGGTTTCTGAAATTGTATGGAGGGCTGGTTAGGGGAGGCTGTGCCTCCCCAAACAGCCAGCCGTGGCCTGGCCCCTGCCGCCTATCTGACCCTCCTCTCCGCTTCTTGCCCCTCGACGGCCCCCCCCCGGGACTCCTGCCCCATCCAGCCCCCCCTGTCCCCTGATGGCCCCCATACATGCCCCCCTGTCCCCTGACCGCCCCCAGGTCCCCTGCCCCTGATTGCCCCCGCTGCCCCATCCAACCCCTCCGCTCATTCCTGACTGCACCTCCAGGACTCCTGCACCATCGAACCACTCCTTCTCCCTGTCCCCTGACTGCCCCCAGAACTCCTGCCCCTGATTGCCCCCTGCTGCCCCATCCAACCCCCCCCTCTCCTTCCTGACTGCCCCCCTGGGACCTCCTGCCCCCATTCAACCCCCTCCCCCCCCGTTCCC